TGAAACAGAAGCCAGAGAAGCAAGGGGAAGATGCCGTTATGTTTGTATTTTGAAGTCAATAGCATTAGCAAACGGTTTTAAATGGCTGCATGTATTAAACCGGCGGTGCTATTAATTATACATTGTTAAAATGGACTTTTACTTAACAGATAAAACCCAGAGGCTTTTCCAGATATTGTTCTGGGTTTTACAGACATTGAGGACAGACAGACCCCGTGAACGTTGGCCTTAGATCGAAATCAGGCAAAAGAAATTGCATTAGCTTGGCCAACCCACATTCGTCTAGGGATGCTCAGCCTGACGTCCGAGCGATTACTGTAAACACATAAAGCATAATGCTGAATATGCGCGCCCGCAAGCTCAGACTCAAGGGTCATGCGTGGTCACATGTTCAGTTCAAAGGCCATTTTGTCGCAGCGCAGGGTACGTACCGACCGCCGGTCTGGCGACAGGGAGCGAGATCTCCTGGTCGATCCGAAGGTCCTCACATGGATGCATCATGCAGTGGTCCTTTCCCTGATGGGCAAGCTCCCTGACCGGGCAGCTGCAGAGAGACGCAGGGGCCCTCAATGACGCAAAAAGATCTCATATCGCCGGTCTACTAATTGGCACAGGTTTCCCAGTTCGGATGAATTGGCCCTTAGTTTGACTCGGGCCAAGAGTACCCTGAACCCGGGCCTCGAGGCTCTGACTGACACCCCTTCCTCTGACCCCTCCATTGCCTTTTGCGGACCGTCATCACAAGCTCTCATATCGCCTTTCGTTGACTGATGCCCCCGGGAAATACCAGAGGCCCTCTGTCATTCGGCGTCCACTAGCTCCTCATGTTCAGGAAGTGTGTTCCTGAATGTCTCGGGATCCTTTACCGACAGAGGACTTCTTGTTAGGCAATGTGGTCTCGTACGTCACGCAGGCCCCCATCGTCAAAGGGGCCGGGACCAGCGTCAGTCGCCGGCCCAAGCTTCGTCCCTACTTGGGAAATGGGCCATCAGGGCTCAGACCGGCACAGAGCCAACTGCGCCATGTCGGTGGTCTCTGACCTGGATGGAGGTTCGCATTTTCCCGGGGTTCTTAATAAGTGCAAGAGGCCATCTGACAGGTATTCGAGGTTATGGCTCTACGGGCCACTTACCTTAATGTGACCCACTGCCGGAACTTTAGGCCTTTCAGCCTTCGAATCGAACCCCAGGTCGTCGTTCCCAAAACGTCCTTCGGGTCCCTCTTTATGTCTCCTCGGACGTTGGCCCTCGCTGACTTGAAGCTTTTTGCTAACGCAGGATCCCCTGTTGGTACTCTAGGCTCCTGGCCGACATAACCGACATAAGGGACCCAACCAATGTAATCGTCAGCCCCTGCCTTCTTCTTCCTTGGTAATTGGGCCCCTGCCAAGCCCCTGCATTTCCAGAATAAAGCGTCTGCCCGGCCGGTCCAGGCCGTCTATCTTGCATTGACAACATTGAGAGAATTCAACGCTTCGAGGCCGGCCATCAGGCTGGTAACGATTCATACCCGGTCATGAATGAGCGGGGCTATGCAAGTAAATAACATTTAAAGACTAAACACGACATGTGCAGACCATGCTTTGGACGTCTGGAGGATGTGCCGAGTCCAATATATAACGACCGAAGCGCCTCTTCTCCAGACTATTTGGGAAGCATTTTAGCTTATGTTTCGCACGACGATGACTTCGCATCGTATGTTTCGCATCTTGCATGACGTGACTGGCTGTGAATAAGCTTTTGAGTGCTGTGTGACTTGCCTCATTACTTAATGTGATGCGGTCGTTGTTGCTGTTTATGGGTCTTTTCGGACGCGTCGAGTACGATGCTCATTTTTCGCCAATAACGCTGTTTTGATTTTACTAGTGTGGTGTGAAAGTGGCTTGAAAGTCAACATCTCTTAGGAACAAAAAAAACAAACTTTGGACTGAAGAAAGGGAAGTTTGTCACCGAGTACCCTGTATTCAAATAAGACACTTGACTGATAAGCGCCTTTTGTGTTTGATTGTGTCAACCGTCTGTGACATGTGCTGGTCTGTATGGCTCTCTGCCCCGGCGCGAGCGCCTCTATCTGATGTGTGAGTCCATGTGGCCGCCCCGCAGCCGAGGGGCGGACGGGTCTGCCCTCCCGGTGGCCCGGCTGCAGACGGTGTCTTTTCATTGGTGTTCCGGCTACGGCCGGCCGGGCACCGGGCTTAGCGCTTCTCCACCTGGTGGGAACGCATATCGCCGTCAAACCTTTGCACAGTGCAAAGTACAACCGCGATATTATCATTCAATTACTGGTCATTATATGACCATTCTGCGCAGAATGGTTATATTTTGCGTTCAAGTATAACCATTCTGCGTACTGACCGCGCGACCAACATGGCCGTGGCTATAATTTCACGAACGGAGCTCTGGCTCAAACGTTAGAACAAAAGACAGTCATTCGTGCTAAAGGGAAAGAACTTTGGGCGTTTGAATGCATGCGTACATAAGACTTTTAGTTCTAATGAACAGGAAGACGGCATTATCAGAAGGTATCACAGGCGGGAAATCGTTTGGCTTGAGAGTGCTAACACTGCTTTCGTGGGATTTCTTTAGGTGAGCCAGTAGTTTGGTAAACCACGTAGCGCGATTTATTATAGAATATTTAGTTTTTGTCATGTCAGTGGTGAAGCATCTACGTAAACCCATTTCTTCACCATGCCAATTTACTTTCTCCACAATTGGACCTGTCACGAATTTAAAATTATGTTTATGCAGAACGACCGTATTCACACGGTATGCACTCTACATTTTTTTTACTTTTGCGAACTTAAGTACACGCCGATGTAGCGTGCTTTGTTCAAAAGTGAAGACTTTGTGGAGAATTCTGGTGAGAGCTGGTGCCAATTTGCACGCATATCTATTTGTGACTGCAGCCGAGAGACGCCATTTCACATGTTTTCCATCCAGGGTTTAGATATTTCTGCATTCACTCGCTTCCATTGTGAACATTCATGTGACTCAAGCTGTGTTTTCAGGTTTATGCACGTTGCCTGGGCACTCTATGACGAGGAGCTCGATGTGCTTCCCGCCAATTATTCCCGAGAGTTCCACCCCTGGACTAGTCAATGTGAGTATTTATCATCAGTGCGTCCTTCAGTGCGTCCTTCAGTGCGTCCTATCAGTGCGTCCTTCAGTGCGTCCTATCAGTGCGTCCTTCCACCTAACTATTCCCGGGAGTTCTACCCCTGGACCAGTAAAGGTGAGGATCGTCAGTGCGTCCTTCCCTCTAACTATTCCCGGGAGTTCTATCTTTGGAACAGTGAAGGTGAGGATCGTCAGTGCGTCATTCCCTCTAACTTATCCTGAGAGTTCCACCCCTGGATCAGTGTTGGTGAGCATCCTCAGTACGCCCTTCCCTCTAACTTCTCCCGAGAGTTCCACCCCTGGACCAGTCGAGGTGAGCAGCCTCAGTGCGTCCTTCCCTCTAACTTATCCTGAGAGTTCTACCCCTGGACTAGTGTTGGTGAGCATCCTCAGTACGTCCTTCCCTCTAACTTATACTGGGAATTCCACCCCTGGACCAGTGTTGGTGAGCATCCTCAGTACGTCCTTCCCTCTAACTTCTCCCGAGAGTTGCATCCCTGGACCAGTGAACTACGGTACCTCAGTACGGACATCAGCTACCGAACACCCCGCTATCAATGCAGCCAATGCTTGTAAAAAGAACTTGGTTGTCGGGTTGGTTCGTTAGCCCCTGTGAGATGTTCCTGTGGCACTGCAAGACGGCTACGGTTTCATTCCCTTTCTGGACTTTTAACTCACCAAACAGCGTTTACAGTACAGACCTGCGCGCAAAAGACACACACGCTGGGGCATGAATGCAGTTTCAGTCCGTCCATCCTCGCCTCACGAAAGAAAACTCAGAAACCAACTCCGTCGAGCCTCTCACTTCTCATTTGCACTGCAAGCAGACACACGCATCAGCAGCATCATTCATACATTTCGCAACGACGGCTACCCATAAAAGCTGAACTCCATCGCAGTCCGGCAAGGCAGTGGGGAAAATGCTTAGGGACAGCGCACTCAAGGGCATTCCACTCAGGGCCTGACTTTCTAAGGAACATAGCCAGTTGATTATCTCTCAATCTGGCCATCATAACTGTTCTGTGCTGTGATGTAGTGTGGAGTTGAGTATTTTTTCTAATGTCCACAAATGTTCCGTGATCTTGTGTAGTGTGTATTTAAGCATTTCTTAACGTCCACAGTCAGCATATGCTCTGTTGTTGATGGTGTTTACATAATTTACGCCGCGGTCGCGATTTATGATGTGTCTCATAGACCCGATCGGCAGTTGGTGTTCACCCAACGACGTATTGTCATCCAAGATAAAGGCGACATCATTTTGGTCTGTAGGAGTCTGAAGTCAAGGTGTTTTGTGTAGGGTCACGTATGAATCAGCTAATCGAAGGATCAGAACTTATATAGACAATGCTTGAGTCAGTCTGTGAAGTTTTAAAGGATCGTGCCTGCAACTGAAAACATGGGCAGCTGAAATTCTCAACATTTCATTGCGCTTTGTAAATGTGTCATTGCGATGACACATTTACTTTGTGACGAGTTTTGTCCTTGCTCAGCGATAATTTTGTAACTTTCGGTGTTTGCCCGTGCGTGGTGGGAGGCGAGTACCAACTGGTGATACCCTTTTAGACAATTTCGCTCCGGCTAAAGATAACGCTGGAACTGACGGCACTCTAGACGTTCATCTTTGGGAATCATGACGTTTTCTTGTTCAAAGAAAAATATAATTGCAATGTTTTTTGGGAGGTACATTTTAATTGCTTTTTGGAAACCTTTGGTTAGTCTTTTTTGGAAAATGACCATGCACTGACTTAAGTGATCAAAGGTTATCACGCACTGAGACAACACACAGCTGACATAAGCCATCGAAAGGCCCTGTAACAAAACTGTAGCGCGGTGCGGCCTCGGCGCGACATTCCGGACCAACTGACCTGGTGTTCGTGTTCCCAGGCTACGAGGGCACGCTGGACATCAAGGTCTACCTCACCATCGTGAGCATCTCTACGATCGACGAGGAAAAGTCGGTGAGTGTATTGCCATGCTGAACGGACCCAGGTATTCATAGGCGAAGAGCGTTTCGTGTTGAGTCCGCGTCACAGCTGGTACATAAAACACCATATAGTTTATAGTCGTTAACAAAACTGAAGCAAGTGTTCGGATGTAAATGACGGAACTATTATAGCACCGGGCGACTGGCCGCTTGCGCATACAAGGCAGCGAAGTGTTGTAAATGGTCTCTTTAAATTGATAACCTGCTGATGGTTTCTTCTCTGACTGGTATACGGTTTCCCCACAGAGCGGTTTTTAACAGTTCAGGGAGGCGGGTTGGTGAGGGGGGGGGAGGTTAGGGGTTACAACTTCTCCTCAACATTTTTCTTGTCCCACCGTAACTTGTGACTGTTCTATTGAACATGGAATGTGAGGCGACCTGAACATTTTGACTTTACGCCGTTTGGGGAAGACACGCAACCAGGTGGGGCGTCAAGCTCCTTACCTCATGGAGTTGTGCGATGACATATGGAATTATATTTTAAGTGTCTTCCCCACTACAGCGATTTTGAAGGTGCGCACATGGGAGTTCGGGTTCATGCTCGTGTGGCATTGTAATGCATAACGTTTCTTTTTCAGTCTATTCACATGTCTCTCCTGATACGTTCAATTTGGACGGATCCCCGCATCTTATTGCCCAAAGGTTAGTCATGGTCGTGCTCATCAGGCGTGTGTATACATTAGCACACCATCAGCGTGAACTCCCTGTGGGAGAAACAACCAGGAGACCTTTAGTTCTGGTGGTAGAAACAACCAAGAGACCTTAAGTTCTGGTGGTAGAAACAACCAGGAGACCTGGTTGTTTCTCCCCGCGGTAGAAACAACCCGGAGACCTTTAGTTAAAATGCCGGTTAACGATGATGCTGCCCTAACTATACCTTGACGCAGACTGGAAGCTAACCTCGTCTCCATGCGGAAATTCTTTACACCAGCACAGTGCGGCTTCAGTTTTCGCGCCACGCCATTCTGACGTTTCAAAAATGCTGCAACACGGCGTGCAAACGCTGAGAGGAAATGGCGGGTCGAACAGCTAGGGGAAGTCGCACGCACCAGGGATACGGCAATCCTTCTACGGTGCCATGACGACGCGTTGATATTAAATTGGGATGAGATTATATAATAAATGATAATTACAGCCTGAGAACCCGACAGCTCCTGCCTTTTCCAAATAAAGTTAGCACGGGTTGGTCTCGCCCGTGCACCGCGAGGGACAACCAGCCACTAACAGTGACTGGATCGCAGGCATGGCGGGGGACGCGCACCTCTCGTTCTCGCCGCTGCTGCGTGAGCGACTATGGGTGCCCGACCTACTCTTCGTCCACGCCACCTCCATCCGCCAGCTGCAGCTGTACACCCCCAGCGAGGCTCTGCAAATCTACGCCAACAACACCGTCTTTCTGTCCTCGCTGTAGGTCAAGCTCGTGCGACGCGTCAGGCCGCCTCGTTTTCGAATGCCATGTTGCTTGGCGCTCTGAATAGCCGAAGCATACGAGTTTCCCCGACCATTCACCTGATCTTGGCGCTCTACGTAAAGCAGAATCTTCGAAGTGTCTTCGAGATGTAGGGTTACAATCTATAATGGTCTGAGCATTTCCAAATTACCTTTATCGGTTTTGAGACGTGAGACGTGATGTCTTTTATGCTAGTTTTGGGGAGAAAGTGAGTTGCTGCGTGCATCAAACCGCTGACAATTGTTTACCAATGCGCTGTGTGCACCTTAATTACTGGTGCATCACCACCTACATGAGTGCGTACCTGACACCACACCTGCAGTGTCCCTGACTTGTTGGGCTCTGCTTCCAGGATGCTGGTGGAGTATACTTGCCCTATGAAGTACATGTCCTATCCTCTGGACCGGCAATCCTGCGACGTCTTCATGGAGAGCAGTGAGTGTGTGACGTGTTCACCTGTGAAGTCAATATACTGTGCACCAAGACCTAACAATTTCAGTAAGCTGTCGGGCCTGCGCGGACACGTGAGTGGCATGCAGTGCTTAGACTGAGTAGGCAACAAAGACCAAGTGTAATCTTATCAATATTCACTGTATAGAGACTCTTCAACATAGAGACCCCTGAGAGGCTTGAAATGAAATGAAATGACGGCACACGCCCATTACCTGCCCATTCATTCGCTGCATTCGCATGCCTTGCATCCAAATGTAACACCGTAAGACATGCCTTGGAGCGTCGCGCCAGCTTAGTGCTCCGGCCACTTAGCGATATTGCCCCTAACGCCAGCATACTGGGCGCTTGCAGTGCGGTGGTAAAGCCGTACATGTTGAAGACAACGGGTGCGGGTTCCATTCGGCGCTGCGTCCACGCTGCCTGCCATTTTTTTCTTTATTGGAATTCGTGACGTAAGGGTAGTCGACTATACTGGTCCTTTTGCGTCATCAAGAAATAGTCAGAACATACTGTGAGTAAAATCACGCGATAAAGTTAAGTCACGTTAGTGTGATAAATAACAAGTACGATTGAGATAATAATTAAGCGCTCTAATGCGGGAATGCAGCTGCACGCATATGAAGATATGGGGACAATGACGCTGAATGCCTGTAAGTCAAGAGGAAGTCAACGCTGACTAGAAATGCTATGAGACGTTGCTCTTGGCAGCATTGAGTTTCTCCAACCAGCTGTGGAAAGGTCGCTGCCTGGAAGCATGTAATTCCAATTTCATCGTATTCACAACAAATAAGCTTGAACCAGTATGGGCTCGACCGTCAGCTCTTTCCGCACTCATTACACGCTGAGGCACGCTGGGCAGCCAGGAGAAACGAGTGGGTTGCGTGCGTATAGCCCAGTCGCAGCATCCAAACAGCAGTATCTTCCCACCTGTCCTTACGCTGCAACACCTTTCACTTACAAATGGGACGTTTCAGCTCGAAGAAAGAGCTATTCATGGCATCCCATCTCCTCCGTCTTATAGAGCTTCGCCTCTGTCGTCCTCTGCGCGCACACTCTGAAGGGCTTGCTGGAAGCCACGGGCTTGTGTTTCGATAGGAAGAGGGCGGCCGTGGCGAGCCCGTCACCTTTGCTGCCGCGGCTGCGCTTTCGTTTCGGGAACTGAATGGAAATTCCAGCATGAATGGAAATTCACATAAACGTAACACAAATACCGTGATCGCTCGCAAGTCGGAGCTCGTCCCAGGCTGGACAGACCAGATGGGAGTGGCCGCTTGACTCGAGGAATGGGTGTAGAGATAATGCGCTGAGGTCATGGAGCCAGGTTGGATCAGAGGGTTTTTGCAACCACATTGCAAGAACTGTAACACTGCAAGAATTGCGAACAGCCAAGTCGAAATCACAGTCATTAAAGTATGCAGACAAAGTTTCTGATTGACGTCACTAGAGACGCAAGCGCACCCAGTCCCAGCAGTGACATTCGAACCATCCGTGAAAATCTTCAGAGAGCCGTCGCACAAGGAGATTCGTTCCGCGGCGTGCTGCACAAATTCCACCTCGGATGCGGATGATATGTTGTACTGGCGTGGGTTGAGGTTGTCCGCTGACCGTGCGAGTTTCCACGATGTTTGATGCTAATCGGCGACAATGTCGTCATACGTCAGTCTCCCGCAGCCAGTCTCTCATGCGCAGACATATCGGCCACGATCAGCGCTTCCGCTCACAAAAAGGAGCGAATGAGCGAACGCGGGAACGACGCGTCATGTCGAGGGTCAGTCAGGGCCTGCGCTACTTTGACCGCGGGATTCAAAGCAAGTCCCTTACGCCTCAGATCCAGGGGCGGCTCGCTATTGGAGCGCTCGTGGCGTCGCTAACCGGGAGGATAGTACCATACAGATGACGTGTGGGTTTCCTGCTTTGTTTCCCACGCAGGCATAACTGTATGCATGGGGTTTGCGGTCGAGAAACGGAGCTCGTTTGCCGTTCTTCATCACCATCTTGTCCAGACACACTTGCTAATAAATATTTTAAACAATGACAAAATTGAGACAAACAGCACAAAACAGACATGTATCCAACTACAGGTGCCACCCGATATTTTCGGCTGGTAGAAGCCTGAATAAATGGATGCAATTACAACAGTCCGAGAATTTTTACAACGGTTTGTGTTTCGTCTTGGCCGTGTTGCTGCACACGGCATCAGTCGTATATTCCGATGACTCTCTGTAAAGCCCAATGCCTAAGATAATTGCGCACGCCGGCAGCACGGTACATTAAATTATGTTCAATAGCTTTACCAGCCATATTACTTATGCGTGACTGGTGTCACTTTAGAACACAATGCGGATGTTAGCAAATTTCACAACCTAGTTGTAATGGCAGTTTACACGAAAAATTACCGCGCAAAACTTTTCTAAGCTTTTAAAAAACACTTTCGTCGTTTCTGTTTTACCGCACGCTTCTTATAAGCGATTTTCGGCTAGAAATGTGTAGCAGATACTTAAAAACATGTTTATAAAGACGCATAACTTGATAAAATTCCGGTTGGCTTTCTGTAAGCAAGGTCCGGCTTGTGTGGATAGGTATGATGAAAGGCCTCTCCCTGCCGAAATATTTCAAAACCCACTTAAGCTGCCTCGCTGCGTACAGTACCGATGTAAACAATAATGGTGCAGCCAGCATTCAGCGCCCTCGACTGATTTACATTGCTGATTGCCAAGCCTAGTATTTTCCTACAATTTGGTTGAACTAAAGGCATGGGCTGAAGAGCTGTTACAACGGGTATTTCCTAATGCCACAAGCTTGTTCTTGGTTGGATATGCGTGGGTTGCCTAATGGATTATCTATTGCATGCTAATGGAGCTGCATGAGAACAACGATCCCTTGTCGGAGTGTTTATCATCCACTAAAACTTCATAAAACATATTACAACTTTGGGTGCAAAGCAATGCCCTGTGAGGAAGAACTTTTCACTCCTTTTCCCCATATTTGATGTGATTTTTCACTTCTGCCTGACATTGCCTAATCACACATGTCAAACCCCTATTTCCCTTTCTGAGGTTTTCAGATGTCATCCAAAACCTAGCTTACTTGAAACCACCAAGAATAAACGAGGCTCCACAGAACCTGGACACCTAGGGCTAGGTCCTGCCTCACCTACAACAGAGCAAGGGCGCCAGGTCCCTCTCAAGCCCAAGAACCCCAGCGACTCCAGCCGCTTGGACGCATTAAGTTTTGCTTGTTTACAAAATGCATCACAATGGGCAGCTGTATGCCAAATGCAAGGTTTTCCCGCATCCCATATATATATTGTTTTTTTTTTGTCTCACCACCACACCACGAAAGCGGAGCCTGGTGCAAACACCAGGAAGGCTTATTAGAGAATTTTGCTCCACGTATTTCTTCTTTCCTGAGGAAACTTGTCCACTAAATTGCATCACTCCCGAAATGTAGGAGTGAAAAATTCCAGAAATGTCTTCTAAATGAAGTTTAAAAGATGAATATCACGATTTGAGCACTCATGTTAATAGATTTTAAGTCAAATCAGCTGATAACAAAGTGTTTCCAAAAAGTATGAGTTTATATATTTATTTAACAAGTTTTGTTTTTCTTGGTATCATACGAGTGTGATACCACTTTATTCTTCCCTCCTTTCCCATACCCTTTAGAGGTACCATTTGTTGCTTAAAATGTGGACCAATTTCTGTGCAAGATGTTCCAACGGCAGACTTGCACGTATTTCATACATGAATTGGATCAATTCGCCAACCGCCCAAAAATGTTTGAAATGCACCCAAGGGTGAACAATTTACAGGAAATGAAGAAGACAATTTGAACCACGGAACTTACTTTTACCGCCATTTTTGCCCTGTTAAGCCCTCGGTTAGTCGTTTTCTTGGTTCATGGCGGTGCTTGATATTTATAAATCTAGCCTTCCGGGTGTCTAACTCACCAGGCTACCTGACAAGGCTGTCCTCATGCTGCCATATAGAGCTTTGGGACAGACCTGACGCAGCTACTACAGAAATGTTTGATGGCAAAATTCTGTCCTCCGGAAATGTTTATCATGCACACCTCTTACTTGTTTCGCATTTTAATCTCGTAGGTTGGTAGACATGATTGATATTTATATTTGGGGGTGAGTGGGATAACTGTCTGTCAGCAAACTGTGCGAAAGGTACTGACTTCGTTTTGGGGGAGGAAGAAGAAGTGTGCCCCGAAAAAAGCCGGTAAGTATTTTATGGAGCAAGTAATTGCTTACCTTACCTACTTCAGCACATTGTTTATGACCGGAGTTATCCATTTTCTGTCTTAACCCATCGATTCTCGGCATAGTACAAATTATGATGCCACAAGGCCTAAATAGATGCCTTCGCTGCAGCTGAAAAGGCAAGCAGCAATACTGGCATGGTCATTCAAAGGTTATGTTACTTTTGGAGAAGAGAGATTGTTTTGTGGAACATATTTGTTGAGCATATTCTGCACATTTTTGCCATTGACGTAGGTTAACCATGACAATCAAAATAAGTTGTTCAAAGTAATTGAAAGTGTCTTCAAAGTGCTACTTTCATGAAAATAAACATTGGTATTTTGGAAGAAACAATGACAAAATGCTTGTTTTCCTTGACTCCATCTTAACAGAAGCCAGAGGTGTGTCTATTGTGTTTGACTTGGTGATATGCTGATGTGTAGGAGTCCAATGTTTTTTGTTTGAGTGTTTCATGCTTTTTAAATTTCCTGTTGTTATTCTGTTGTCGAATTCCTTTGCTTTGTTTTGTGTTAAAAATGCTGTGGAATGGAAGTGCAAAGTGCAGCATCAAATTATTGGTGTTAAATAATTTTTATGCCCATTACACTGTCATGAAATTGTTATGCGTGTATGTATTGTTTCACTTTAATCGCCTGAGATGTTAAGAAATAAAACAGTTTTGTCAGGTTTAGGATATTACATCCATGCCAACTTGAAATAAATGCCTTTGTTTGCCGAAGCATCAATCACAAGCTCATAAGTTGCATCTTTTGTGGTTTCATTCTTTCGCTCCTGCACGGTCTTTTTTAGGGGAAATTTTTCACTCCCACAATAGTTCAAAAGCGATTCTAGCTCCCTGTATAAAAAGCATGCTAAAAACTTTTCAGTGTATTAATCGATCGTGAAACGGCTAGTCATAACATTCGGCACAAGTTTTCCTTCTGAGTCCCCCTCCAGGCGATCTCTCGGCTCACTCGTAACTGGCGAATGCAGCCTACCTCGGAAAAGCGGGGCGTCGCGAGGAGTCAGACGATCACCTTTTTAAACATCTCATCCTTAAGGTTGATCCCGTCAAAGTTGCGGGGAGGAGGGCAGTACCCTCCAGTTCAAAAGAAAATGGAGGACGAGCGCCCCTGCTGCACACCTCCTGCTTCTGCTCCCCGCTCACAAAGTGATGTCCAGAGTAGTGCACTAGCGAGCGGGGCAGCACAAGGAAGGGTCGTGCCATCGCCGTACCAAACTGCAGCAGAGCGGGCCGCACGGGCACGGGCGGTGTGTGACAGAGCCGGCCGTCCGCTGACCCTCAGGCGGCTACCCGTCCGAGCGGCTCAACGTCAGCTGGCACCCGGCCGGCGTGCGTCTGCCGTCTGACTTCCATCAGCATCAGTTCGCGGTGTCGGTCAGCAGCGGCTACAACAGCCAGACGGCATACCCGTCAGGTACGGGGCCGCGGGCCCGCAGTCGGCCGTCGACCGCCTGTCAGCGCTGCGGACCCACTAGCCCATACCGCTGAAGCGGCTGCTGTCGCCCGCTGAGCCTTAAAACAGCCTCCTGACTTGGCTAGCTAGTGTACTACTCTCTCCAAAGTTTTCTCATTTGATATCATTACATAGCGCTCATTTCACAGGGTCGCCTTATTTTGTCCTGTTTTCTCTGCGTTACCCGTTCAGTTTTCGATTTTTCCGTTTCCTTGTCTACGAATAAGATAATTGAGCTCAGGATATCCATGCGGAAATGGTAGTAAATGCGAGGAGTTGTGTACTTTGCGAATAATTGTCTATCAAGTGCCCGTTTTCAGCAGCGTGCCAATTACTTAGTGGCGGAATCAGAAGGGCGGCATGGAGCCACGCCCTCGCCTTGGGCAAAACGGGCTCCAAAATCTCAGGGCGAAGGGGCATCGAAATCTTCCTTTTGGATCTACATAACTTTCATCTCTTAGAGCCCGAAAATTTCAGGCCACCACAAATGGCCTAAATCCTTATTTTTAAGAGGTACCGAAGTTCAGGGCACCACAGTGGCCCCACACCTTCATCCTCAACGGGCATCATATCCCGCAGACAATGTTGTGTCTCCCATCCTGACCAAATCCTGAATCAGCTCCACTGGGCTAAGGAGCGCGAAAAACCTTCATTTTGGCGCACCGGAAGCTTTACTTTGAAGAGACACCGTATCCTAACGGGTCATTTAAAGGGCCAAAAGCCTTGATTTTTAAAGGGGACCAAAATCCAGGGGCACCACAATTTATATGCCTTTTAACCTGATGACTTTGCAGATCGGCCCGTTACCGGAAAGGCCACCAAGACGTTCATTCCAGGGCATAACAAACATTTATTTTCCGGAGGCCCAACTCCAGGGGCACCAAAAACGGGTGGATCCAGAGGGGAGACAAAGGGCCTTCCCTCCCGTTTGGGCCCCATGGGGATATGGTGGCAGGAATAAACACCAAGGGGTAAAGGGACGCTAAAACCTTCATTTTGGAACTACATAACCTTTATTTTCATGAAGCATTAAACCTAAGGGACACTACAAATGGCCCCAAATCCTCATTTCTGACTCAACAAGTCTTAGAAGCCCACAACGTCCTTTCCATGTACCGTGACGAAATCCTGGATCTGTCTATTCGACGAGGTAGCACCAAACTCTTTATTTCGGGGGCCACATCCTTTATTTTCAACAAGCACCTAATGCTAGAGAGTACACAAACGGTTCCGAGCCTTCATTTTTAATGGACATGAACTTAAGCAGCACATCTATGTTGTAGCTCCCAAGTCATGGATTTTTTCCAGTATTGAGAAACTATCAGAGCTCGCTCATAAGTTGTTTAGCTCGACCACTGCCGTCAGATCGCTTGGACGAGTCCATTTTGCACGGATGGGGAAATTTTGGAGGTGTCTTGCCTGCTTTCGGCTGACTGCCTGACGTCCCATTTCGCCGGGGAGCCACTGACGGCTTCTTTATTGGTCGTCGGGAATCTTAGAATCTCAGCATGCCCTGCCTCAAGCAATAACACATTACACGCTTTCTAAGCAGGTGCTCTTAAGAGGCATGTGCCTTCGTAAATTTGTGATTTATGGACATTTCAGGTACAGCACCCCATGCGAAAATGTATGAAGGCCTTGTTGGTAACATGACGCTACACAAACGTTGATTTTTATATATTCGAAATGAAATCTTCTCATAATGATGAAGTCCTGGATCGGGCTCTGGGGTAATAGAGCACAAAAACTTCCATTTCGGGGCGTCATAATATTGGTTTTCAGGCGGCAACAAATTACATGTGGTGGAGGCGGGTACCACATATATCTCCAGACCTTGAATAAAAAAAGCTGTAAATTCCGGGGCACCCGAAATGATCTCAATATCTTTCTTTTCACACCGTCATTGTTATGGCATCACAGACGTGCGATGCCCAGACCGTTCCAGACAGCTGCGGCCCGAAGCGATAACGTCTGCTGCGTGGCGGTCAATCGGTGTTTGCGCAGGTGCAGACTACCTCTGTCCGAGGCGCGCGTTTCACGGGTCGAAATAGCGGCGCGTGGGGCAGAAAGCGTGCGTACCTCGTGAGGCGCGCCTGCTTCCCTCAGCGTCATAAACACTTAAATTACGTTTAATGTTTACACACTTTATTGAACACTTAAATTACGTTGCGGTGCGCCACCGCGACCTTGACCCTCGGCTACCCAAGGGAATTTAGTGCCGGAGTTACGTGATGGTGCTTTTTAGGGCCGGTAATAACCTAAGCAGGAAAGCTGATTGCTGTTTTAACTTTGCGTGGTTGGCTATCGGTCACCCACCCCACACGTACAAACAGTGCGTGAAATGAAGGAAAACATACGCCTGGATGAGCTTGAGGAGGCCTGAAGTGAAGTAATGACGAATTTTGTGCAAAGAAACGAGGATACCACTGCACTTTTTCACGACGGTTGAGTCATGGGCACGCCAGAGCAGAATGGAAGCAACTATGGCACCAATAATTTTGATGTCACTTTACGCATGCACAATCGAACCGCTATTCCAAAGTGGAAGTCAAATGACTTGTTAAATTCTACTTTGACCCAACGAGCTTGAAGCAGTTTTTGGTTCGTTTATTTGGAGAGAATCGCCACCGAACCAGCCCTGAATCTCACGTATAGTAAGCGCCAGTCGGGTTTTTTGGTTCTTTCATTTGGAGAGAATCGCCACTGAACCAGCACTGAATCTCACGTATAGCAAGCGCCAGTGGGGTTTTGACGTCGGCGAGACACAGCCCCGTGCGCGATGTTGTCAGCGTACGGGATGAGGCAACCATGAGTCAAGTATCCGTACAAAATGTTGGTAAACAAAATGATCAAAATAGGATGGATGGTCCAGCCGTGGGGCACACGGCATGACATGGGGAGAGTGAGCCGGCCTTCACGCGCCACGTGGCCTCAACCACTCAAATAACTCCTAAACAATCCCGCATCGGTAACGCCATACCCAGACAGTTTGGTGAGGAGGCTGTTAGGTCAACGCTATCAAACGCCTTCGACAAATCGATCGTCGTCACGGACGATAAAAGACCGTCGTCGGTGTTGGTGACCAGGTGTTCGACAGCGGTGAGCACGGCATCCTCGGTTGAAGTGGTGCGGCTTACAGGCGCACTAGGATGGATGAGACAGCTCTGTCGCGTTCAAATATTCCGTTAGCTGTGTGCAGGCTAACTTTTCTAACATCTGAGGGAGCACACTGAGCAGGGATATGGGCGTTTTATTGGACGGTACAGCTGGATCACCTGGCTTCAGAAATGGTTTCACACATGCCGTTTTCGAGCTTTTTGGGTACTGGTATATTTTTGTTCGCTGAAGCATTCTAAAGAAAGGATGAACTTCCCCAGGCAAAACGGGATGGGCATATTAAACAAACATCTTTGACCCCTGTTTCTATGCATGCTGGAGTTTAATCCATATAATTTATCCATTATATTTACCTATTATATATATTTAATCCATATAATCCATCCCCTTCGTCCCTCGCCCAACATTTTTGGAAAACCCAGAGAGAATCCAGCAGCGCCCCTGCCTATGATTGTTGATAGAAAGGCACGAATGAACCACTGTAAGGTGAATAACGTCCACTGTTTACTTGATGCAATCATTTAATTCTTGCTTAATCTCATTTTATTTCCTTCTTGATACGCGATGAGCGATATATTTTAGTAGCTTTAGTCTGGCTTCTCTTTCAGTTAAAGAAGTGCAACATAAATATAAAAGGAAACTCACCTTTTAAGACTAAAGGGGCCAAATCCGGCGGACCATTCCAGCGGAAGATAGTTGACCGATTTACAATGGAAATTAATCAGTAAATGAGCTGAAATTCGTGGACTTTTTGTGGTGTGCATCAAGTTTCAGGCGGCACCACAATGAAGCGTAGCCCCTCCCTTGACGGCATGCTGGATCTGTCTCTGCAGTTACCAGTTGGGTATCGTACGTCATCGCTGTCATGCCGTTAGTGTTCGTTTTAGAATTCACTGATCGCTGCCACACTGGCGAGACGGCAGTGATGTACTGTTAATTATTCATACCTCACGGACGAGGATTTTTCAGTAAGCTTCGTAATGACTTGTCAAGTCCTGACAAAATCACACCTGATGGTTACATCTGGTTCTGTGGCCGGCCACCGTCAGGTTCTTCTCAAGAGGTCCAGATGTTCATGCTGTTGATAACAAGGAACAGCGGTTTCCTTGGACCTTATTTAAAGACTCGCGCGAGCGACGTTACTAAGCCAGTTCTGCAGCCGACGCCAGCAAGATTGATCGCGAGACTCGCCAGAGCCCCGTTCCATGCGTCGGACACAAATGCACGCGCTACTGGGCTTCGATGCTCTACCACTCCCTTTGACGGGGCTTCGCTTATACGCCCCCTCCCCTGGTCGGATCGCCATGGCAACATCAACATGTTTGGCGTGGTACCGTGCCTATCGGCATGTTTATTGCGGTATGGCTTCAGGGATCCGCAGTCAGGTCAAAGGCACATGCAACACCAACGGTCAGACTGCCGATTTGGAACTGTTGCGTCTGGGGGTCGAATGGCGGCTGGACATCTAACGGCACCTCATGTATCGGCTAACACACGCGAACTACGGCGGAGCCGCCGCAAAACGCTAGCTTACGAGTCACGCGACGTGTATCAAAGCGTTAAACGGCTGTGCCGGGCGGCCATTGGCACGGACTATTGCGCCTGATCACCAGGGGAGCGGCCAGGACGTCTGTTCACCAGGGGAGCTGACCATGGCGCCTGCTCACCATGGGAGCTGAATATGGCGCCTGCTCACCAGGGGAGCTGACTATGGCGCCTGATCACCAGGGGAGCGGCCAGGACGTCTGTTCACCAGGAGAGCTGACCATGGCGCCCGCTCACCATGGGAGCTGAATATGGCGCCTGCTCACCATGGGAGCTGAATATGGCGCCTGCTCACCAGG